GCATCATCAATGAGTCTCGCCATTCTTAGCACCATTCAACAACTCGTCAAAGAGACAAGTCTCTTTGTCTCTCTCTTGTCTCTTTGACGAGTTGTTGAATGGTGCTACGAATGGCGAGACTCACTGACGATGCCGGCCAAACGTCTGGGAATGTACCACATCCACGGTTCGAGTTTGGAAAGGATGATGCATACAATGGACTCCGGACTCGGTGCGTTCCCTTAAGTCTTCCTACCAACATGACCAAGTTGCGAAAACAAGGTCAAACAACTTCTATGATTCTTTTAATGCTTAATTATTCCACCAGTCAGGCATTAATGAGGGCAAGTACAGACGTGGGCTGCTGGAAATGACGCACAAAATCATCAAATGGCGGATCAGTCTAAGAAGACAAACGGACCTGCACCAGAGCTTCCGAAAGTGAAGGAGCCGAGGCCAAAAGAGCCGAGATCTGATCAGCCTCGAGAAAAGAGAATCCGAGCAGCTGCGCGGCCTCTGCAGAAAGTGGTACCAGCGCGGATTGATCCGAAGTGGCGTTGGCAGCAACAGTTGAAAGGGCTGAAGTGAAGAGAGTAAAGAAGGTAGTGCATAAGAATACTTTCTCAATTAACTTCAGAAAGCATTATGCATAGCATGGCTCGAATTACAGGCTGATGGCTTGTCTGCCTTATTGCCGTTTGTCCTTCGCTCATTGCATGTGAATTTGGGGAAAATTCTCTCAGACTTTTGTCTGTCATGCCACCTGACAGACCACAACAGTGTGATATTTCTTCTAATAATAACTTTGCTCTAACACAAAGTGAAGAAAAGTGCATTACTGATCGCTACTCGAGCAATGAATAATCTGAAAAATAAATTTAAGGAGATATATAATGATTTAGCATAGGCTATTCCAACCTAAGTGAGTAGGTTTTCGAGACTATCAGTCAATCAGATATAAGAGTTGTGCTCCCCCAATTTCGTGTAAGGTGATGAAGGAGTGGTAGTTAAATTTTCCCACAATTTGATGGGTAGAAGTTATGTCTCCGTTTAATTTCACATAGATTTGCATTCCCAAAAGTTATTTTTCTTTTTTTAAAGTGAAGTTTCGAGACTACCAGTAAATCAGTAGTATGACATGTATTCATCCTATTTTGTGTAAGCTGATGAAGGACTGGTAGTAGAATTTTCCCACAATCTGATGAGTAGAGGTGATGTTTCCATTCAATTTCACAGAGCCTTGCTCTCCTAAAAGATGTTCTCATCCAAGCTAAATTGGACTACAATTTCGACCTCGCCTAAGCCTTATCAACACCCAAAGAGCGAGGCTTATACGAAGTCGAAAATGCAGTCCAGTCCAGCCGGGATGAGAACATCTTTTGGCAAAGCAAAGCTCTGTAAAATGCAATGGAAACGTCAGCTCTACTCATTTGATTGTGCGAAAATTAAACTACCTATCCTTCCTCACCATACACGAATTAGGATGAATACATGTCATGCTACTGATTTACTGGTAGTCTCGAAACTCCACTTAAAAATACGAAAAATAACTTTTGGGAAAGCAAATCTTTGTGAAATTGAATGGAAACATCACCTCTATTTATCAGATTGTGGGAAAATTCTACTGCCAGTTCTTCATCCCCTTACACGAAACAGGATGAATACATGTCATACTACTCATTTAGTGGTAATCTCGAAACTCCACTTAAAAATGCGAAAAATAAATTTTGGGAAAGCAAATCTTTGTAAAATTGAATGGAAACGCCAGCTCTACTCCTTAGATTGTGATAAATTTCTACTAACAGTTCTTTACACGAAATACGGTGAATACATGTCATACTACTGATTTACTGGTAGTCTCGAAGCTCCACTTAAAAATACGAAAAATAACTTTTGAGAAAGCAAATCTTTGTAAAATTGAATGGAAACGCCAGCTCTACTCTCATCAGATTGTGGGAAAATTCTACTGCCAGTTCTTCATCCCCTTACACGAAACAGGGTGAATACATATCATACTACTGATTTACTGGTAGTCTCGAAAGTCCACTTTAAAAAAAGAAAAATAATTTTGGGAAAGCAAATCTTTGTGAAATTGAATGGAAACATCACTTTTATTCATCAGATTTTGGGAAAATTCTACTGCCAGTTCTTCATCCCCTTACACAAAAT